GTTGCAAGATCTAAAACACATTTTCAAAATGAGCCACAACTGTTGAGTCTGCAGAGTAACAATATTGTTTCCAACAGAAGATAAACCCCCTGTTTTCCTAGCGTTCTTACACCATTTTCCTCATGTTCACTGTTAGTCATACCTCCAACAGACAAGAGTTTTGCTCAGGTCACTGGAACCATTAACTCAGCATAACATAAACTCTTGGTGTAAACCTACCCAAACCAACAAAAGATCACGGTAAAACTACCGCAAGAGATTAAATCTGACTCATCTTCCAAATGCTGAGAGGTTGCTGCTCCTAATCTCAAACAATATGCATTTTTGACCAGTGCAACACCCTACAGCACAGATATGCAAGCATCTTGCCAACAGTCATCCAGTGACCAAGGAGATAAAATGTTTGGTTATCAATTACAAGTGCAGAACAAGACTGGCAAGCCAAAAAAATCGCATCATAAGTCTCGGGTGTGCATGCTATGAGAGTGTGCATTGCCATCAGTTAAAAATAGCTCGTTAAAACCACTGGAACCTAAAACGGACCCATTCCAAACTACTAAGCATTCATTTAAATATGATTTGACGGTGTTCATTCTAACAAACAAAGCTCTGTCAGTCACCTACTTCACAAAAATTAATGTATTTCTTCAGACTTGGGGGGGAAGGGCTTACAAAACTGGGCTATGAAAGCAGAGGGATCTTCTAGTCAAAGCCATGTACAGCACGTGCCCTGAGCTGCACAAGTCCCAGGAGGCTGTCTGAAAAGTGCCTGGGATAACAGAGAGGAACTCACCCTCCTTCTGTAGGCCTCTGTTCATACAGAAAAACGGAGGTGGTGAGGGCTCCCCTCCAAAAACAGAAAACAGAAAAATCTCTCTCTTCTAGAAACACCAAACCAAACAACAAAGAAAAACAATCCCCCTATCCATCAATTGAAAAAGATAATTTTCTTCAAAAACAAAAGGCAGTGTAGAGACTGTCTTTTAGAACCCCAAAAACCGCAAAAGTGAACAATTTAGCCAAAGCAGATGAAGTGTTTTACACAAGGGTACTCAAGGAAGGCACTAGCTGAAGCTCATATTAAATGGCCACTGAAGAACCAGGTCTGCAGCACTACAGACATGAGCTTCCTTTCGCTAAAATCCAAGTTCATGTTCTGTTTACAAGGGGGATAGTGATGGCACAAGGGGGAATGGTTTTAAACTGAGACAGGGAAGGTGTAGGTTAGATTTTAGGAGGAAGTTTTTCATACAGAGGGTGGTAACGCACTGGAACAGGTTGCCCAAGGAGGCTGTGGATGCCCCATCCCTGGAGGCATTCAAGGCCAGGCTGGATGTGGCTCTGGGCAGCCTGGTCTGGTGGTTGGCGACCCTGCACACAGCAGGGGGGTTGAAACTAGATGATCACTGTGGTCCTTTTCAACCGAGGCCATTCTATGATTCATACCTGTTCACCATTCACAGCTCACAGAACACAACCCAATGTCTTGTTGTTATGTAGTATTTCAGTTGCAAAACACATCAGAAGCCTATGAAGTATTCCTAAGACGTGATTCCCTTAGCACCTAGGCCTGTTTCCACTGCCCGGGTTCTTTTAAAACTTAAGCACTGACCATACTTTGTCCATAAAGATCAACACTGCAGAGCATTAGGGCTCATTACGAGAAAGGGGTTCTTCCCTTCAAAACAAACAAAAAGCCACTGTGATGGAAATGTGTAATGGACCTCCGACATGGAAGAAACGATAACTGAAGTTATTAGTGAATGCTATGAGCCTTATTGTTGCCAGTGGAAGTGTCCATCCAGGAAAGGTTAACCTAAGAAACCTTAGTATTTCTATCCCCTGAAAACCAGAGACCGGACCACAAGTCGAATCCAAAGCGACAGAAGTCACGGGGTCCGAAACCATCCTCGAGGAGAACCAAGCGGAACCGAGCACGGAACCATCCCAACTCCGTCCCCGGTCATGACGTGGCGCAGTGCCGTCACGCCGCGCCCGCTCGGTCCGAGGCAGCGCTCAGCCCCGCGCCACGTTCCCGACGGGACGGGTGGTGCCGAGCCCCGCGGTCACCGCACGCGCACGGGGCCGCAGCCGCCGAGCGACGCCCGGAGCGCCCCACCGGGGCAGCCGTTACCCGCTCCTTATATGGCGCGCACGGAGCGTCCCTCGCCCCGCGCCGAGCCTCCCCGCACGGCCGCCCAGAGCTCCCCGCCCGCGGCCGGCCCCCACTCACCGCCAGCGGTTGATGCCCACGTTGGAGGAGCCGGCGAACCAAGGGTCCAGGATGTAGACGCAGCGCACGGTGTCGGCGCCCCGGATGCACTCCCGCAGCGCCGGGTTGTCGTGGAGCCGCAGCCCCTTGCGGAACCAGTGCACGGCGTTCACCCCCATGCCGTGCTCATGGCCCGGCGCCCGGGCGAGCAGGGGGCGGCCGCCGCCCCGCGCGGTGCGGGGGGCAGAGCGGCGCGAGCGCTCTAGGATCCGGCGGAGGTGGCCACCCGATGGGGACGCATCACCCCGCGGAGCCCCGCGGCTCGGCGGGAGAAGACGGCTCGGGGATGGGGAGCAGCCGCGCGCTCTCCTCGTGCCGCGCCGCCGACGGCCGCCACCTCGCCGCTCGCCCTGTGACTGCGCCTGGGCTCCGCCGGGCGCTCCGTCCCGCCCCTCGCCACCGATTGGCCGCCTCCGCCCCCACGTGACCGCCGGCCCTCACGTTTCTGAAGTGTGTTCGCTGCCGGCCGCGGCGGGAGGTGGCGCAGCGCGGCGGGATTCCCGCCCAACCTGGGCGGCGCGAGGGGGCGGCGGGGCGCGGGGCCGCTAGGCGCCTCGCGGAGGAGCTGCCGGCCCTCTGGGCGTTCGCCCGCCGACTGTTATATATCGCGCCCGGCGCGCTCCCGCTGAAGGCGGCGCGCATGCGCCGCGGTGCCGCGCTGCTCCCCTCGAGCGTCCCCCGCTTTCACCCTCACCCCTATCCCACCCCTCACGTCTCGCTGCGGGTCTGGCGGCACCGAGGCGGAGTACCGATCCCCGCTCCGCCTCCCCCGTCCCCACCGACGGGCCGCTTATGTAATGCCTACGCAGCCAGCCCAGCCCGCACGGCACCCACCCCTTCCCCTCCCCCAGCGGCGATTACAAAACTGCCAAGTACGCGGGCACAGCGAGGCTGCTTGCTAGTTATTCGTAACGCGGTGTTTGTTTGTAAGGTTGGAACTTCTCTCTCCGAGCGGCTCGGAGCCCGGTCTCTCGTCCCAGTCCCTGCCAGGGCTGAGGCGCCGAGCAGCGAGGCGGCAGTCTGCCGTCAGCTCCCCGCAGCCCTCCCTCGCGAGTTTCATAACCGCCGCTCCCCGAGCCGTGATCACTGCAGGCTGAACGACAGCTGCAGTGTGCCAAGCCCTGGGATAAAGCACCTTCTGACCGTACCTTCCTTGGTAGGCCGTTGGGCTGCGGGTCAGAAGTGTAATGGAAGGTGAAGAATATATTAATTAAGGTGTGTAAGCTCCAGAGGCTCTCTGAGCAAGGAGAGAAATAAAGCCATGGTTAATCAAGGATCTCACTCATCTCGCTGCTGTGCTCTCCTGCGGGTAACTTTCTGAAGGAGCACTGTTTGCTAATTGGGCTCATTTAGTGCAGGCCACGAGAACAAAATCAAGAGGGAAGGGTCACAAAGGGAAAAGGATAAGACAACGGGGTGACATGATAGGAATTGAACATGAAGTACATACATCGAGTATACGATACCTTGTTTTAAGTAGTAGGAGTGCTCTTCAGGTCCCTGTTCTTAACATCACTGTATGCTGCTGTGTGGTACACACTGACCAACACTGACTGTGAAAGAGCAGCGCGGTGGAAAACAGCCCGAACTGGGCTCACAGAGCGGCCCTTCTGCAGTTCTCTCACACTTCGATCTAACACAGGCTACTGAACGTGACAGCAGACAACAGAAGGGCTTCCAGAGCCAACAGTGGCAATTTTAATGCTCTGGAGGATACGAACACGCGGATCCCATGCTAATTTGAAAAACAGTAAAATCACAGAACAGTTTGGATTAGAAGAGACCTTAAAGATCATCTGCTTCCAACCCCTGCCGTGGGCAGGGCTGCCAACCCCCAGCTCAGGCTGCCCAGGGCCCCATCCAACCCGACCTTGAGTCTACAGAGATGGGGCACCCACAACTCTTTGTGCAGCTGTGCCAGCACCACATTGCCCTCTGCGTAAAGAATTTCTTCCTAACTAACCTAAATCTCCTTTTAGTTTAAAACTGGTCCTCCTTGTCCTATTGCTATCTACCTGTATAAAAAGTTGATCTCCCCCCTGCCTCGAAGCTCAGTAATTTATGTATGAAAGTGCTCACGTGTCTACGAGTAGAAATGGTTTGTGTGTCACTGATTTGTTTTCTAACTTCAGAAGAGATCCAAGGCAGACACAGCTCAAATCACCCAGAGGAAGCAGATCCTCACCAGCACAGTGTGTTCAGCTTCTGAAACACTACCAGCACCCCCTGCTAGCCCGATGACCACATCTATGAATTTCCTGCTTCATTCTGTAACAAGTGCAGCGATCACATGGAAAGACACGCACTGAGGTTACAGAAGCCTCCCCTAAAGGCATCAGCGTGCTTCTCCTCAGCAACCTGAGGTCATTTCCCATCACGGAGACCACGCAGCACATTCACCGCGCTCTAAGAACAAAAAGCACCAAGACATCACTTCAGCACGCTAAATCTGCAGCTGCAGGACGGCAAAGTCCTTGTTTACGGGAGAGATCCACACCCCACAGCCGTCCGCGTGCGCGCCATGGCGGTAGGGCGGCTCCGCACGCCCCCCCCCACAGGCTATGGTACGTTCCGTTCGTTCCGCCTCGCCCCGCCCGCTGACAAGGGTCGGGCCCGGCGCGGCCGCGCAGCGCTCAGCAGGAGCCAGGTCAGGCGCGGGGCGGAGGGGCCGTGTGGGCGAGGGGGGCTGTGCTGTAGGGGGTGCAGCTGGGTGAGAGCCAGCAGTCCATCTGGGCTGCCTTTTGGGTTTGTAATCTCTCCATACGTAGACTTGCAGACCCCGTTGCGATACAGGTATCAACCGCTGTCCGGCATGAGCTTGTGAGAACTCTGAATTCTTGGCACAGGTTAAATACTCGGGACTGTTGTGTGACAACAGGTGCTGTTGTCATCTACAGACTCCGACATGCGTTTCAAACACCAAGTGTGACCGCTAAGCTTCTTCTCAGTTTCTGCTGCACGCCGTAACATTATCATCTATTCATCTCTTTTCACTATAATCTGCTCACTGTTTTACAAAAGTTCATGGGTATGCAGTCAGATGTGGTTTAGCAAGTGAGGAATGGCCTGGGTTGAAAAGGACCACAATGATCATCGAGTTTCAATCCCCCCGCTATGTACAGGGTTGCCATTCTCACTATCACCAAGGAAGAAAAGACTGCGATGCCAAATATAATTCCAGACAACCTAAAGCTTCTCTAAAGCAAACTTAACAAGAATTTCCATGTCAGACTTTGAAAAAAAAAAAGCGCAGTTTACTGTTGCAGAATTTGGCCTTGTTTTTAAAAAGCTCTATAACTAATCTGTTAGATGACTCTCTATTGTAAGTGTCTGATTACTTACAAGGCAATTTAGCCTAACAGCTGGATTACACACTGAAATAAAAGTCATGGTTAGTTATTTTCCCTGTTTGTACTTTGGAAATATCACCTGACACCCCAAACAATTTTAACAATAGTTTATTTAGATGGCAGTTTTCAGCTGAGCTAAAACATTAATGCAGAAAGCACTGACCTTTCAGAGACTGCTTACTTTGACTGGACCCAGTGAATAGAATAGAATCACTCAGTTCTCAAACACAGCCAGTTGTGTCATCTCTTCTGGAGGAGAGGCTTCAGTTTTCAGTCCTGGTGAAAGTCACTTTTTCAGGATACAAAAGGAAACAACACTGGAAAAATCTGTGGCTTACCTGCACTTTGGGTTGCTTTCACAGCTACTTGGAGAATCACTCATTCAGTGCTAGAGCTCACTGGGCAGTAATTCTCAAGCCACAAAGTGTATGAAGATAAAGCCATTAAACCTGGGGTTATGACATACAGCTTAGTTGAGCTGTGAGGTCGTGCCTCAAAAACTTGAAATATGACTAACAACCAAGTTACTGATGAACAGCTTTCTGCTAACGGCAAGCTTGAGTGTAGTTCAGCATTTTCTATGTCTTAATCTACTAGTTTATGATGTGGCAACATAATAAATAAATATAAAACTATAAACTGAAAAGCGTCAACTTAAAAGCAGTGATACACATTATCGACAAAAAAGTATTTTATCACTAGAAAATGTTTAACCATACCTGAAGTTCTGTCACTTGATCCCCTAAACAAATCATGAATTTTCATGAAAGATGGATATAAATCAGATTGTAAGGGTTTCACATAGCTGTTCTGCATGAAGCTTCTTAATTTATGTTATGCAAGAGATCAGATTGGGTGACTGTAACTGTCTTTTCTCTGTAAAAAAAAAACAGCCAAAAAAGCCTTACTTAATACTCTGGGTACTTATTGAAGCACAATATGCTTTGGAAGAGGTGAATGTGACTGTATAAATAGGGTTGTCCAATACCCAACATAATTGTATCTTCTTTCCCCCTTTTGAGTTAGGACAATTTTCAGTGTGTTAACAGCAGCAGCAATTAGGTCAAGCATTTCAGAGACCAGAAGTTCTCACTTCCACCTCGGTGCTTCCCAAAGGGTGTTACAAAACCACCCCCTAGGAAGTTAAGGATACACTGTGTGATATTTATGCATGCACGACTGCCACTGCAGCTCCTCTAGCCGAGCAGGGGGCACTGCCTGTGCTGTTCATGATACCTGGCACTCAGCACCAGCAAAGCTGCCCCCCTGGGTTATCCCCAGCTGCACAGTGGCTGTGCACCTACCCAAAGGGCTGCAACAATGGCTCTGGGCCCACTGGAGGTGGCAGGCAAGGACAGAAAGCAAAAGGTGGAAAGAGGGTAATGTAGAGGCAAGTAAAGGCCTGAAGATGTGGCACTATGCTTGCTTCCTCTCCCAGCTATCAGGGTGATTACTGAGCCCCAGTTAACAGATTCAGCTAATGAAAAATGCATAGGTACACAAATGGGTTTGATGATTCTTTCCTTAATTGCATGGAGAATGAGTTGATAAGGCAGTTAGGCTGTAACTGCTACTGAAGGAGCACCTGGGAGTGTTCTGACACATGAAGGAACATGTCATGCTCTAAACAATGCCTAAGCAGTTAAGCAAATACATTAAGAAGAGCTAAGAAGTATACTTTAAGCTGTATTTTAGTGTTTTGTTTTGTTTTTATTCATTTAGTAGAATTGCTGTCAAATTAAATTGCATGTAACATTTTTCCACTGCAGAGTGAGTGAGCTGTAACACTGTCACTAGCAGGAAATAGCTGACAGCTTTGTTCTCATATGACTGCAGCATATCATGGACAGAGTGCTGCCCCCATAGCAGCACGGCTGCATCCACACGTTATGTTCTGGTGAGGCATCAATCAGAACATTAACCTTTCAAAAATCTTTTCTTTCCCTTCTGCACAAAAGCTGATTTTTTGTGCTAATAACAAAAAAATACTGTTAAGAGTAATTTCTTATGTCATCTCAGTCTAAATATCAACGGCTCTGAGAACATTGTGAGGTATAATTTGTCTTCAATGTGTTTTCAAAGCATTGTTTTTCCTCTCTGCGTAGAGCTGCATTCCATGATGTTGAGAGGAGTTGCTCACAGTGCAAAAGACACAGTTACATTTCTGTTGGCAAGATGTCACTGCAGTAGCCCTGCGTTGAATTTTTTGCCCTTACGGCCTGAGGTGACAAACAGAAGCTTCTTAACCCATTCAACGTACACAACTGATACAAAGCCTAGAGAGGAAAACAAAAAAACCATTGAGGACCTCCACAGACTGTCAGTTGATATTAAGAAAATACGCAGAGGAAAGGAATGGGTCCTTCTCCAGGAGGTGGCTTACGTCCCAGACATCGCCAGAATTCTACAAGAAATGGGTGCAGATGAGCCTGCTATAGCCAGCATCTTGGAACGCTGCCCAGAGGCCGTGCTGCGTAGTCCTGCAGAGGTGAACTCTCAAAGAGCTCTGTGGCAACTGGTATGCCAGAAGGAAGACCAGCTGATTAAATTAATAGAGCAGTTTCCAGATTCTTTCTTCACTACTGGGTATCACGAGAACCAGAAAGCAAATATTCTGTTTTTTCAGGAACTGGGACTTAAAAATAATATAATCACCAGGTTCTTGACGAGCGCACCCAATATCTTCCACAATCCAGCTGAGAAAAACAAACACGTGATAGAGACGTTACAGAGAAATTACTTAAGCTTAGGAGGTTCTGATGCAAATATGAAGATCTGGATACTGAAGTTACTGAGCCAAAATCCATTTATTTTGTTAAGTACCTCCTCGGCAATTCAGGAAAACTTAGAATTTCTACAGAAGAGTGATTTCACCGACCACGAAGTCCTACAGCTGCTGTCCAAACTTAAAGGTTTCATTTTTCAGCTTACACCTTCCACTATGCAGAAGAGCATGCTTTTCTCCAAAAATGTCTTTAAGTGCAGCGATCAAGAATTCAAACGACTGGTGCTGAAATGCCCAGCCCTTCTCTACTATTCTGTTCCAATTCTGGAAGAAAGACTTGAGGGACTGCTGAAGGAAGGAATTTCTATAGCGCAGATTAGAGAGACACCAATGGTGCTGGAGTTGACAACACAAATTGTTCAGTACAGGATTAAAAAACTCTCTGCTTTGGGATACAATATAAAGAGTGGAAATCTAGAAAACTTGAATGGTACTAAGAAAGACTTTGAAGCAAATTATGGTAAGATACAATCAAAGAAGGAGAGACCGATGTTTAATCCTGTTGCTCCTCTGAACATTGAAGATTAATTTGAAAACTGTACTTAAAATTATGCAATAGAGAATGATCAAAGAGAAAAGTTTTGGTTCTTTGATAGGAGTTGAAGCAAAAATCATCTTAACCAGGTTGTAGCCTTACGCTGTCCTTTGTCGTGGAGCAGGCTTTATGCACAACTTCATTATAAAATTGCAGCTTTTTAATACTGGTTATGGGAAAGGTTGATTAATCCTTTACATAAGGATTATTTTTTTTTCCCCCAGGGAGCATCTTACATATCTTTTTGGTTCTGATTTCCTTATCTGCCTGGCCTCTAGCTTCTGTGGCTTTTCAGCTCCATCTCTGCACTGTCTGTGGTAGTGCTTAGCGTAATCTTTATCTGAGAAAGAAAAGGAGGATTATTTTGCCAGTAATATGAATCCACCCACTGGTCCACTGCCTTTGGAGATGTATATCAAGTTCCATTCCTTTCTGCTGCAGGAAGTGGCTACAGCTCCTGCATCCTGAATTGAAGAATTGAAGCAGATGTGACTTGTGGGTGGCAGGACCCAGCTACAGCATAGTCCGAAAACAGGCAGAATACAGCATTTGTATTTAGCAGCTGCTATGGTAATACCCTAGTGTGTTCATTTACAAACCATACCACAAAGAAACTATAAGACAACCTCCTTGAAATTTCCATGACTATAGAAACTGACTCCTTTTGCAAAAGGATGGGGGGCAGAAGGAAATACATTTATTGCTGTTACATGGTTGTTCATTTCTTCTTTTCTAGCAAGGCATGGGGAGAGAAAAGGCTACAGAGTGACTTAAACGAGTCTCACATGACTGAAAGAGAAAGGGAAAAGTCCCATTTCTGTATGGGTATAACAGAACTAGAGCCTGAGCATACTGGTGATTTAAAGTGACCATCAGATTTGCAAATAGCTGCCATAGTTTCTAAGTATATGGGTGATGGTTTCTCATGTATCACTGTAATTGTTGACAAGTGCTAGCTTTTGAAATAGTACCTGTCCTATAGTGTTTAAATCCTTGGGGGATTTTTATTTATTTTCATTTATGGGCTGTGAATAATAATTAAAAAATAGTAGCAGCATTAAAGTTCCTCTCAATAAAATTAGAATCAGCAATATTACACGTAAAAAATAAAGGCAGACTTGCTTAAGCAGCTGTTCTATACAGATTCCCCTTTAGCATCAAGAGCTAAACCAACCACACCCCCACGCCAGGCCATCCAAATCCAGGGTTCCTTCTCTTGAAGAGGAGCTTTAAAACACAGAAGAACAGTGGTATTGAATTACTTATCTAGAAAGTGAGCTGCAAGGTGATGCCACACAGCGTGCCACATTGACTACTGCAAAATCTGGTCAAAGCCGTGACGGGATGCCAGCAGGTCGTGGAGGTGAGCACCCTGTGGCCAGAGCACATGTGGTGGCAGCCAGAACTCAAGTGACACCACCACCAGGCACCACAGATGTTCACCTGCCTTACTAAGCCATTTCTTGGCTGACTCTTCGAAACACACAGTTGATTTATAGGAGGGAGCAGAGACAGCCATATGGAAAGATTGCAGCAGCTAGCCTTTGTCACTGTTTGACTGTCCTCCAGCACTCAGCTTTTACTGTGATCACCATATTTCGATTCAAAAGCCTCCATCCCTCAGACACAAGGGGGCATTTCAGCTCTTTGGAGGTATTCATAATACCATCTACTGTAATGCTGAGCCCAAGAAACAAGCAGTCATTCAGGATGAAAAGAAAACTGAGACATAAGAGAATGTTTTCCATAAAAAAATTTAGCATTTCCACTGGTGTCTGGTTATACAATTCCTGCTACTGCTATTCCCATCATGTAAAGTACTCCCAGTAGCAATGAAAGAAATACGTCATTTTCCTGTTTCCTCAACAGTCACTGCCAGTTATTGCAAAAGCATTTTCCCTTCTGCAAGTTTCAAAACAAAAGCATAAAAACTCCTTTTCTATACCTGCCGGCCAAAACTCATTCAGCCCTTCATCCTTAAGTATGCCTGAGGCCTGTCTCTCTGCTCTTCCCAAGTTACATTCAATAACAAAACCTCAGGTGAGCCCTTGATTACCAAAACATTACTCAGTGACTGCTACAGTGTTGAGATCCTCTTCTTAATCTCTGCTGTTATAGCGAACGTGAACATAGAATCATTAACACTGGAAATGACCACTAAGATCATCTAGGCCAACCATCAGCCCAACCCCGCCATGCCCGCTGACATCCACACGGTTCTGGAACAGCCCCAGGGACAGTGACTCCACCACCTCCCTGGGCAGCCTGTGTCACTGCAGCACTGCTTTTTCTGGGAAGAAATTGTTCCTAATATCCAACCTGAGCCACCCCCAGCATGACTTGAGGCCATTCCCTCTCATCCTATTGCTGTTATCTGGGAGAACAGGCTGATCCCCCACCTTCTCAAAGTCTGTGGCCCAGTTTTTCTTTGCAAAACTAGCAGTCATGCATACAAATCATGTTCATAAACATTTCCCCTTTTGAAATAGGGGGGCTGGGAAAGTGAGAGTTAAAAAAAAGTTTGATATTCTATTCAACTTCCTACAATCTTAAAAGTGGGTATCGCCAATCTTCAGTTCCCAGGAGAAAAACCAAACAAAAACCAAACAGTGAAGATGATGTTGCATTACGTCTGTGCACAGCCAACACCACAGTAAGCGTGGGTTTTATTAACAGCAGCTTGGTGCTATTTAGGTGCAGATTGCCTGGGCCACCAATGCAGTATGAAGATTCAGACAAAAGCATTTACTGATCTGCCTTTCTCCACAAAGTAACTAAGGAAACTTTCAGTAAGTCTGAAACAGCAACAATTTAATGTTTCACAAGAGTCAGGACAGTCAGAACAAGTTCTTAAAGAAGGGACCTTCTTAAGTGAATGAAAAATATGCAGAATACAGGAAAAAGCTTTTCTCAAAGATTAAAACCATACGCCATGGTAAAGCATTTCAGTTACAAGATTCAGAAGCAATAACTACAGGACATGCGAAGAACAAAACATACCAAAGCGCTGGCAACCTTTTACAGTTCTAACATTGCATCTCTCCTAACACGCTTGTTCTGCAGCAAGTTTCATAGCATAAAAATTAAAGAATGCCATAAAAAAAAAGGGGTAAGACAAGTTCAATGTTTGAGTGTTCAGAAAACAGTGAAGGGTTGGGTTGAGTGTTACAAATCTTGCTATGCTCCCAAACAGCTGGCGTGCAGTGCTCACTGGTAGTGCCCTGGGGTACACTGGAAACTACACCAGGCTCAATAATTTGCAGCAGCTCCACTGCTGCTGGTGTCTGAGGTGCTCATTCCTGCAGCTATCTGGGATCTGCAAACCACGCGGCATTCCGTCACCTTCTGACTATAAAAATAGTTAAGGACTGCATTTATTGCTTGACCTTACCTCATGACACACTTCCAGCAGTTCAGAGATAAGCAACTGGTGCAACTGAGAAAAGGAGCAGAGGTCCACCTGCAGGGTTTTGCTCTCCCCACTGCCCCAGTCAGAGAACCTAGCAATACATAATCATTACTGATCGCCTGTAAAGCTGTTCCAGACTGCAGCTGAAGTACCAATGGCTCAGAAAGACAGGGTTACCACTCTACCATCATGTGCACAGTTTACATTGAACATCCATGAATACAGGAGCAAGTTTTAGACACGTAATATACTTTTTTTTTTCTTTAATTTCTAAAAAGTTTCTATATATCCTTGAACAACCACAGCTATCTGAAAAGTAAGCTTATAAGCTTAGAAGTTTTTGGAAGGAACACAACTTTTTAGAAAATACTGCATATACAACGTTCACAGCCTTCTTATTTGCAAAGTCAGCACACATACAAAAAAAAAGATCACCAGCAGCTTCTACTTTAAGGCAACCTCAAGCTGTGTCCTTGGAGTGCAATTTGCCTCATACACTGTGGAGGACCTACAGATGTTCCCATATGAGGAGTGTCAAAGTTTGGCATTTGTCAGTAAACAGCTTACTCAGATGATTTTTTTTTTTTTTTTAAAGGGAGCTCAGATGCCATTTTTGGTTTAAATAAAAGTACTGCATTTTACTCAAAATGCTAAGTATGAGATAAAGATGTAGTGAAAAAATTATTGCGTTTGAACAGAGCAAGAAGCTAACCTGGCACATCATGGAGTTGAGACAACAGTTGTGCTGGTTCTTCAGTGTTTTCCAGCTACACAAAGCAATTTTTCAAGTTACATAGCTGTGTTAGATGACCAAAACCACTTGCTCACTTCCATTAAGCCATCATTATTTTCTGGTGTCTCTCAGAAGCTGATCAAAGCGAGTTTCCACTTGCAGGAGACAGATGCCTATCATTAAATACACCTGAGATTTAGCAGTTTTGTATTCACTAAAAACTGAGCAAGTTTCAGGTATCTGAGTCACAGAGTCTCTGAAGCTTGTTCAATGAACTGCACAGAAACAACAGGAGAGCTCTTTACAAAGCTTCACCTAATAAAGCAAGATTCTTTTCTAGTAAGGCATTAAGTTAAGTGTCATTATCCCTTGCACCACGCTGTCAAACTTTCTCACCTCCCATCTCCCTCTCATTTCCAATCTGTTTGCTTCCAGTCTGCAATGGCAGAGTGCAGTCATTGAAAACTGTCAGGCTGTCTGCAAGTACTGTTTCCTAACTGTAACTATTGAGGCACATCCCATGGTGCCATTACACAGCTCAAGGATCCTTAGCAGGAGGGTGCGGAAGCCACTGAGGACAGTAAGTGGCACCTCATCAAACTGATGGCACGGCAGATTATCAACTTAAGTTTCTAAGTTCACATTTCAGTCCAAAACTGCAGAAGACTTATTCAGTATGCATTACCCCTTCAGACACACACACTCGCTCCTATAGTTATCAAGTGTAACATTCCACCAGGTACAAAGCTTGAAACTAGGCCATAACAAATCTTCATATGCTGTGCTAGCCAAGCTTCTTCTGTCCTTTCTGGATGAAATCAGCTTTCTCTTCAGAAGACAGTGTCTAAGACACATGGCTTCTCATGGTCCAAATCTTAGAAGATTTTAATGCCACCAAGGTAATATTCTAGAAAATCAAGTATGTCTCTGTTTTGGCTTTAGTCAGACTTGTCCTTTTTCTTCCCTGTTAAAGGCACTTTGCTTGCAACAGCAGATCCTACTGCTGTAACACCTCCAGCCACAGCAGAAACACCTCCTTTCACCAGCCCCACTCCCATTGAAGGCACTGATGTGACTGCTGTTTTGGTAATTTCCAAGCTCTTCCCTCCAATCCAAGCAACACCCCCGATCGTGGCACCCACAGCTCCCTTTGTCACACTGAAGATGCCACCAGTCACACGAGAGAGCATGCCGGGCTGCTGCTGTGGGTGGTCTTTGATTGAACCTGAGGGAGGAAACGGCAATCAAGTCAATCATGGTGCCACAATTAAAGCATTTTCAAAAGAGTTATTCATAAGCATTTCCTTCTGTAGTCTAACAACCACTGCATGCAGTACATACTTACTTTACCGTTTATTTTTCTTTGATGCCCATACAACACCGTTGTTCCAAACAGCAAAGTGCAGTGCAGTGAGATACATACACCTCAATGCTGTTTTCTAAAATGCAAGTCAACACAGGGCCTAGAAACATCAGGTACGCAGTTCCTACATAGTTTTAAGTGAATAAATCAGTCCCTGCCTGTACAACCACCAGCCTCTTTGATGCTGCCAAGCCTTGCAGGCAAGAAGTCCACTTCTGGATCTCATTAATGGCAAGGCAACATTGCTCCCCTCCAGTTCTACAGGGCAAGGTGACAACAAAATAACTTCTAGTTTAGCTCATGAAAAGTGGTCCCCAAAGGCATTAACAGCTGTGCAGGCAGTGACAGGCTCCAACCAACAGAAATCCCACTATGACACAGAAACAAAACTCAATTCACTTTTTTTTCCTGCCCATTGTTGATCATGCAAGTCTGGTTCTCCTTTATGTTATGTTTAAGCTGTGTTTTGAATAATGGTTCCTTGCTGCATGCTGGATAAGTCACTTCACAGTTTCTGCTTATGGTACAATTACACAGTTTCAAACTAATGGAAAAAAACTAATGGAAAATACTGAAGTAGTAGAAAGCCTCCCAGGAGTCACTACTTAGCCCCTTCAAAACTTACTAAGTACTTCATACTTCTAACTGCAGGCTTTTAAATCCTGAGGAGATGCACATCCTACCTCTGAGGTGACCTAAGATTCAAATCCACGCGCCACTACTGCGTAACAACAATTTCATCTTCAAAGAACAGTACTTTTGGAGCAGTTTGGTTTGCTCCAATACTATGTTAACATTTTATTTCAGCACAGAACATAACTCACTGTACCTAAAAACTGGCAAACAATATTGTTGGCCTACAGTACATTTTTGGTGTGAACCTTGGGGAATCTCTGGTCTTTGCAGCAGCGTGGTATAGGTGTGTCTCAGCTCTTGCCTTGTCAATTCCTCACTAACCACAAATACCAGTATAAAGTTTCAGATAGCACTATGACAAGAGATAGGCAGTTCACAAGAAATAAGGATGAGTCCCACTGTTTGTTGAGTTCTGCATGCACATGCATGATTTATAAATAACAGTAGGTAGAACATGGAATTTAGTGGATAGATTTCCTTTCTTAGCGAAAAAACAAGAGGAGGAATCAAAAGAGAGCAAGCAGAATCACAATGGGCAGAGCTAGGTAAGTAGTAACCTTAAATAAAAAGGTGAAGGAGTCTGAGACAGAAAGAACACACTCAGAAGAAGACAGTGAATGTACAGAG